CATTCTTTTCCATTCTGCCGTATCATCAAGTAGTATTTTAATAGAGATTTCTGTTTCAAACTTAAGAATTTTTAGCCCTTTCTCCTATCTTATTTCTGTTTCCTATGCCCATGTGCAAGTACTGAAGAGTAAGTTAGCATCTGTAATTTCTGACCTTTATCGCTGTTAACCTGCTGCCCACTGAATCAGTATGGTCAGACCTCCGTGTTTGACTGAAATTTGTCCAAAATATGTAGCTAAGTAGCTTTTTAAACAAATAGACCCCAACAAATGCTGCTTTTCATCTCAAGGTAATAAAAGTAATTTTTTAATGTCAAAGATGGGTATTTAATGACTTAAGGATGAGGGGGATACTGTTTTAAGTTTCTTGCATATGGTCTCTTCCAGTGCATTTTAAATGCATTTATTTTATGGTATGGTCATGGTAGCCCACATTTTGAGGCCTCTTGCCTGAGCTCTGGCCTCAGTGGACCGATAAGCAACTGACTGGCAGTCCAGGGTTGTTAGAAGCCAGTTTTACCTTAATAGCCTGCAAGCTCTGAGACCCTATGGGCTTTTAATTTCCACACCAGCTGTCCTGGAAAATGACAAGAGTCCTCAGCCACGGTGTGACCCACAGGACAGGACGGCTCTACAGTTAGATGTTGGGAGCCTTAAATGGCTCAGTAGGAAAGATGGAGGAAAAACTAGTCTTGATTCACAGTATAAGCCTATAAGTCAGTTTTTTTCCCACTGAATTCTTTAGATGTTTTGTTGGAAGATGATTAGAACAGGTTTGTTTCTACAATACATGGCATTTTCAAATTGACATATTACAAAAATGCTGCTTTCACTGAAAATACCCCATCATCTCTAATTGCAGGTACTTCAAATGTATAGAAACATGAATTGTAGCATAGTAGTAGTGATACTACATTTAGGTTGAGGAACTGTATGATCTTCCCTTGCAAGCACTGAGTACAAATGTACGTATTCATGAAAACTTTAAAACAGCAAATTAATTTTCAGATTTGAATTGCTCATATTTGAGATTTTCCTGGTAGTTTCAATTCAAACATTTAATGAAAACATGTTTGTGTTAGAAGGCTTTGGTAATATTTCTTCCAAAAGTATTGCTTGTAGATAGCGTAGTTGAATCTTCGCTGTGCAGTAGGTAGCCTCTCCTGCTTCTGGGACAAGACTGACCTCTCATTTGCTACTGCAGTCTTGAGGCTTCCCCCATGAGAGGGACAGCTTGGAGTTAGATAAATGAGTTATTCTAATGGG